TTTGGGGGGGCACCTTGTTGCAGGAGTTTTGACACAGTGTCCATTGTGTAACAGCTGTAAAACACGCTGGAAATTATTAACTCCACATGCCTGCGCCGCTGATGAACTGGAATCCCAGAACAACCTTTGGATTTTGGCGAATCACCTTGGAGGGAGACGCTGATTGAGAACAGGACTGCTGAATCCAGGTCAGTTGTCGTGCACGCACCGCTGAGCGCGGGATGCGTGACCGATGCGAGGGCGTGGCGCTGTTGCTCATCTGTTTTGGATACCGTCACGTCCAACGGCAAAACCGCACCTTAAAATAAAAAAATATAAAAAATGTTGAAAAAGGACGACAGGTTTCAAAGGAACACGAGGAGAAATGACGATCCTCTCAACGGAATGAATGCCGAGCGATGCCAAAGAAAGCAAGGGAGAGCGGAAACCTGGACTTAAACCGATGGTAATACATCACGGTACTTCATCCAGATACAGTGGTCGAAAACAATCGGTTCCAAAACGTTGGGCGACCTCCGACTTGTCGGCATTGCAAACATTCTTCCGCTCGGAAATAAACCAAATAGAAATACAGTGGTGCCGGTTGAATTTGCTCCAAGTCGAAATGCTTCAATAGCATTGATAAAGGTCATTTTTAAATCCATTTGAGGAAGCTACTTTTTATTTCTCAACTAAGGTTAAATGTTGCCGATGAGGTTTTTTTTTTTTTTTTTGTCATTTTCGTAAGATACTTTTGTTTTCTCTGCTTTACTTTTGAATGTCTTTATATGTGCTGGCTTGACTTGTGTGAAGCACATTGAGTTACCTCATGTATGAAATGTTGCGAACAGGTCATACAATTGAAGTTTGGCGTGTGAATGTTTGTCTTTCATTCACAAATAATTAAAGAAACACTTTGTATTATCAAGGATCACCCAAAAAAAAAAAAAAAGAAAAGCTGAGACGATTTTCCATCATTTCCAAACGACTGCCAATTTCCTCTCACGAACTGCTGGGACGGACGGACGCAAATGTCGACTTTGCTCCGGCGTCTTTCGGCAACGATGTGACACCCAAAACCCAGGAGTGACTGTGTCTCTTTCCCCGCAGGAGGAACAAGCGAGATGATTTGTCGAGAGGCCCGAGGGAGCCAGCCGGCGCGCCTTGAAAACAGGTGGTGCAACATCACACCGCAGCGTGCCTTCGGGGAATATTTGAAGACGTTCAGGAAATGCACCAAAAACAAAACGCATCCGCCACGCGACACATGACAAACGACAAACTCAAGTTACGGCGCTGACACGGAGCCTGCCGTGAACTCGTGAGACGTTCCCCGCCAAAATTTCACTGTGACGCAATTGAATGCATGTGTAACAGTAGGCTGGATCCCATCAGTACCGCTTGGACTCGCCAGCAAGTGTATGCAAAGCGGTGGGCAAGATCTCTCCTGTAAAGTGTTACAATGAGCTTGATCTCGCCAGCAAGGGTGTGCATGCCGGCGGACGTTTCGGCACTCTCTTCTTCTGAGTTGCTCGGCAGGCTGTCTCTCCTTATCTTACTGGTAAGTGTATACACTACATGAAAATGTGTAGCAGAGGGCCGTAGCTTGCCAGACAGTGTAACACTGGGCTGTAGGAGTGAAATAGATCTCGCCGGTGAGTGTGTGTGTGCGCACCAGGCAATCTCACCATCTTACCTGCAAGTGTATGCGTAACAGCAGACTGGATCTCAGCAGCAACTGTGTGTAATAATGGGCTGGTCTTGCTGGAGAAATTATGCATTCCGGCTGTATGCATCCTTTGGCCGTCTTCTATTGGATGGGGCTCGCCAGGTTGGTTCTTGTCATCTCACCTGTAAGTGTAATACAGAAGAGCAGGCTGGATCTTGTTTGAGAGGGTGTGTGCAACAGGACTAGATCTCGCCAGCGAGTGTGTACGTTCCAGCCGGTGTTTGGCAAACCTCTCTTACGCATCGTTTAAGAGGCTGGCTTTCACCATCTGGATCTCGCCGGTGAATGTGTGCAAATCCGCCCAGCTTTCGGTCATCTCTGGCAGCTTTCTACTTACGGAAGCAGACACAGGGTGTTGAAAGAAAGTCTCAAAGAGCGATTTCGGTTTGAAGCAGTCATGGCTGAAACTCCCGCTGAATTGAGCTCTGCTCTGAAGGTTCATCATGGCTGAAATGATTATTTTCATCGCTATAGGAAGAAAAAAAAATCATTTTATCTTATGTAGGCTTAAAGTGGCTCCGGATCTTCACTTAGCCCAGCTCATCATGTCATGGGTGGAGACCATTTTTGGGAGTGGTTATTATGTAAATTAGCCCCACTATTACGAAACAGTGCATCATCACAGACATATTTTGAAAACGTGCATTTTACAAAAAGTTTCTTTGGTTGCTCAATGTCATACTCCACCGCACTCCAGAGACCAAACTATTTGTACACAAGACATTAAAAACTCCATTTTCCATAATGCGGCCCCTTTGCACTACCAGCATTGATAAATGTTGTGATTTTCCCTTCTCCTATTCGCCGTCCCTTAACTCGTTGGACAAGAACAATTTCTTCCTTTTGACAGATCACTCCAAAATGTATTAGCAGAGCGGTCGACTGTCAATCCAGCTGCCCAAAGGTCCTTACAGGTCTCTCTCTCTCTTTTTTTTCTCTCTCTCTCTCTCTCTCCTCGTGTTGAAAAATGATGTAATCAAGCCGTCCTTCCTTCCTACCAGCGCTCCATCCATCCTCTCTAAAGGCCTGGCGGTCCCTTTGGCCTCGCTCTGGATCAAGTCCCCCCCACAAGCCCCCCCCACCCCCTGACCCCGTTAGAGGTGCATGATGGGCGGCCCTGTCACTTCAAATGGCTGCCCGGGTCCGGCGCGAGACTCACCCCTCACTGTGAGTAAACCTCGGTGTTATTTCGGTTTTATGGGCTACGGGTGGATAACTCCGCGGAATGGATGCGGACAACTTAGTTATTGTCACGCGGGGCGAGGGAGTCGATGCCGCTACGCCCGGCGCGAAAACAGCTTTGGATTGAGCGCCCATGAAAAGTTATGTGGCGTGAGGAAAGCAAAGCAAAGCGCCGCGTTCGGGATGACCAGCGCCTGGCGGTCGGCCGCGGCTTTATCCCGAAGACGACTTTCAAAGGGGGTTATTTAAATTTCAGGGCAGATGAATGCCTCGCATGCCATGCGTTGCTTCGGTTGTGGAGAGCGGCGCCTTTGATGGCGAGGGGAAGAGGGGAAGACGGCGGCGTTGTTATTGAAGTAAAGAATAATAAGGCCACTGCATGTTAGGCTGTGTACAGAGACCTTGATATCAATCCAATGCACTATGCATGGCCCCCCTCGCAACAAGCAGCCAGACAGGAAAGCGCGTGCCTTTTGATCCCGCTTTCCTTCTGTTGTCTTTCATCTGACCCATCCTCCCAAATTGTCACCAGCGCACACGCGCGCCGGAAAAAAGGCGAGAGTGCGGCTCACCCTCAGGGTGGAAGGTGGGGGGGGTTGGGGGTGAGGGGGACGG